CAAAAAAATAAAAGCCATCTTAGATATGAAACCTCCTCGTAAGTTGAAAGAGGTTCAGAGGCTAAACGGCCGCATAGCCGCGCTAAGCCGCTTCATGTCCAAGTCAGCAGACCACTGCCTACCCTTCTTCAAGGCAATTAAGCCTAGTTTAAATGAAGTTTTGATATGGTTTTCAATTGCTTGGTATTGGATTTGGAAAGATTGCTTGGTATTGGTTTTCTTAATCTCCTTACTCTCTGGTCTGAAGTAACTAGCCCTACCTTACCTTGCTCACATGCTCCCAACCCCCACCACGAGAATTTGTGAATGAGTTTTATGAGTGTTGGTATGTAAATTTCAATTTACCGAAAGATGTTAGCTCAAGAAGTGCATTGAGTGGAAAAGACATGCTTGGTCAACTAAGAAAGTTGCTGGGCCCACTAAGAAAAAAAATAATAAAAAAGAGTCCAGTAATATGAAAGTTTTTGGTGGGACATAACATAGGGTCTCTAATGTATTGGCCCAAGAAATTGGAGCCCAGTATAAATTAAAGGGTAAAATACAAAAACCTCCCCTCTGACAATAATAAAAATCTCCTCTCTAGTTTACCTTTAGCAAAATCCTCCATTCTACTTTCAAAAAAAGCGACAAAAACCTTCCATCCTTTAATGAACCTGACGGAAACCAAAGAAAATTACATTTTTATTCTCATACCGCACCTAAGCAATTTGCAAAATATCAAATTTTCCCTTACTCGAAAAACTCACTATCCTCTCTTGAGAAAAACAGTCGAACCCTAACCCTAACTATTGCAAGTAGATAGTGTTCGGAATATTCCACTTCCCAGAATATTTCGGCGACGATTCTTCATCAAACGATGGCCGGTTTCATCTTGTTGGCCGATTTCTTCACCAGAGTTCGTTTTCTTCACTGGAAATTTGTGGCTTTCTAAAAATTTTGGCGACTATTCTTCACTGGACGACATGTGTGTTTTCCATAACAGATTCATTTTTTTAATCTGTATAGCATGTGTCTATTTAGGTGTTCCATAAACAGGTTCATTTTTTGAATCTATGCAGCATGTGTTTGTTTAGGTGTTCCATAATAGGTTCTGTACATGGATTTCCGTTGTTCTCACAAATAATAGGCTCAGGTCCAACTGCTTTACTAGATGATGTAAATGAGATATGTTGGGTGTTGAGTGATTTCTGTTGCATTCATCATGACCTTGAATCTGTGCTTGAACGTTTCTCAGGCAAGATTTCTACTAATTTGGTTGAACAGGTGTAAAAATCTAGGGATTTCTACTCACAGGTTCTTTCTCTGGGCCCGAAAGTTGCCCGGTTTCAATCATAACAGGGAAAGCTACCATATTCTAGTAGATATCTTTGGCTGCAACAAGCAATTCCCTATGATATGGTATTTTCTTTCTGAGAGGAAAGATAGCAGGGATTATGAAATCGGGCATTTTGGTCAATAAAAATTAATTCTATGGCCAACAGAGCACAATCTTTGCTTAGTATTCGGAATTAGCTAGAATGGATTTTCATTCCCAAGGAGGAAATGGGAATGGTCCATTCCGATTCTAAACCCCATTTTTATGAACCAAACGGATCTTTAATTCTTAACTTTCAATTACTTTTGGATTGATGACCTCATTGTTGATATGAATTCTTAGGATCCGAACATTGAGTTAATTGAGTAGCTGGCCTATTTTATTTTAATAAAATAATTTATTTAAGAAAAAAAGAGAACGATTACAATAGTCCTAGAGGGAGGAACCTGGAACAGAAGCTACATAACACAACTCAAAATAAGGACTGAAATCAACAAATAAACGTTGGACAAGCTTATTAGAACAACCCAAAAACAAAGACGTTGAAAAAACTGAGCAACAACGATAACAATTCTGTTTCCCTGAGCAATCTAGTTCCCAAACACAAAGCCCTCACATCTAGGCACGCCAAACTTAGGAGAAATAGCCTCTATCCAAGTGTGAAGCTATCTCGACACCCGACCTCTCCCTCCCCTACCTCTGCCTCTAGTTTCCTTTGCCTTTCTCAAATCCGCCCTCATTGATATGCCTATGTAAAAATCTACCAATATCCTCAGTTTTCTGCTGCCAGGGGGTCCCAGACTTGAGCTCATCGTCCACTACTTCTTCAAGAGGAAAATTGCTCTCTAACTCTTCTTCTCGAAGATTGTTTTCTCTTTCTCTCTCCCTCTTAGGATTGAAACAATTAAGAAATCAATTACAGAGATATGGAAAATAGGATTGTGTGACCGAACCATGAATAGAGATGAAACGGTTTTACATTTTTTCCCATGCGAGGCTATAAGAAGTTGAGTGACTCTGACCTAAATCCGACAAAAATTTTTGGATTTACAGTTTTCTGGTTTTGTTGTTGACCGAGAAATCCTTCTTCTAGGTTCACTATTCTTCTTACTGGTTCGTTCTCCAGTTGCCCTCTTCCTTTGTTCGTTCCTCACCTGTTCTTCAAGATAATAAGAAAATACAAAGGATATTTTAGTAAATAGATGTACAGGGTTAAAATGGGTATTTTAAAAAAATAGCATCGATTTAATGGTTTATGTTAGATTCATTAACAGAAGGGAGGTTTTTGTCACTTTTTTTGAATGTAGAAGGGAGGATTTTGTTAAAGGTAAACTAAAGGGGAGGTTTTTATTATTGTCAGAAACTTGAGGGGAGGTTTTTGTATTTTACCCTAAATTAAAAGGGGGAAATGATTGAGCTCAAGCCCAATATGGTGTAGGGGTGGGGTCAGGGGTGGAGCCAAGTATACTGGTGGGGTCCTTGGCCCCCCTAAACTTTTTTGTTAGATAATATTTATATATAATTACTAAGTAAATATATGGTAAAAAATGTAATAAAATGGGTCCTTACCCCCTTCCCCCAAGACTTGAATTAAAATGTTAAAGCATCGTTCTCTAATGTTCCCCCAACTCCCAAAGTTAAATACTTTGTTCATTTTTTCTTTAAAAAATCTATAATAGACCCAAACCTTCTCACCCCATTTCTCTACACAGCCTACCTCTTCTACTGCCACATCATTTTCTTGTTTAACTTTGCCCCGCAAGAGAAAATCCCTGGCTCAGCCATTGGATGGGGTCCATTGTAAATGGGCATTAATCCCATGTCACATAGCTATCCTTAAGCATCCCACTAAATTAAATGTAAGAATTGAATATTGATGTAAGGCCCACTATTTATGTCAATTAGAGAGATTTTCTCTCTAATCACATTAAATTAGAGTGATTCTGGAACCAAATAAAGAGGTTCTTTCAAAAAATCAGCTTAGTGGGGGCCATTTAAATGACTATAATAAAACCCAAATTAATGTCAATTAAGGAAGGAAAATCATGGTTGAATATATTACCTTTTGTGTGTGGGCCCAATCTCTTGTCAAATGGAGCTTCTTTATTGTTTACACATGATGATGATGACAATGATGATGATTGTTAGAGCTGTGATCTATTTTATTTAATTAAAACTTTTTATCAATTGTGTTTTATTTTGAAAATTTGAAAAATAGTAGAGGGCGATTTTGATATTTTGTTTTTTTTCCCTTAGTGCTGAAGGATAATAGCAACTGTCAGAAAACTTGGGAGTACCGTAAGATAATACGTAAACAATAATGATAGAGTTTTAGTCAATTTCTTGAACCATAGGAATATTTTAAGAAATTTTTTGTTAAAAGATTTTTCTTTATTTTAAGTAAATTTATTTTTCAAAAATTACTGTTAATTAAAAAATTTCGAGGATTTGAACCCCCAAAAGAATCCGTCTTCATGAAAAATCAGAAATGAAAGACAATTTTTATCCTCAGAAAATCGGGGCCGGTGATCAGAATTATTTCAAAATTGAGGTCTAGAAAGGAAATATATATGATCCCTGCGTCGCTGCCATTCCTAATTCAATCCTTGATTTTCCATCATATTTGGAAACCTGTAATAAAGCAGCACAGCCAAGACAATAGATATGCTTATTCCTTTATAGTTTGCCTCCCGGGCTTAAAGTTTGTCATGGATGAAAACCTGAGACAATGGGAAGAAATTGTTGATTACAGTCTATTGCTTTTAGGCTTTAAAGAAATTCAGATTTCTGTTCTGTTGGCGGTTTTTTTTTGTTATCTATCCTCTATAAATGAATTCAGATTTTTCTACAAAAAATAAAGTCAAGTTTCGGGTTAATGGTTGGAAAAGTTGCAGCCTTTCTATCCTTTATTAATATCTATTTACTGGGATTTATTAGATATCTATTGGAGATTGAATGCTAACATTAAAAAAGACTTCTGGTTTTGTCAATGCTTCCTGTCCTATTACCAATAAATTCAGTGAATTGTTAATAACTGCAAATGGTTTAACTCAATCCATTATCAGTGGTTTTCCTGAATAGTGAAGAGAAGAAAATATCTTTTCACCAATTTTGTTAAACACATTCTAAATTTTAGGGATGCTTAACTATTTAAGCCTTTAACCCTGTATTGATTTAGGAAAAATCTATGATGCCGAAAAGACCTTTGATCAATCAGGTGTTATTTATCAAAATTCATTGGGTGGATTTTGATTAGTCAAAACTCTTTTCATACTATATCTCTTTCCTTTTAATTAATATCACCAGATTGCTTACCAGTTACCACCTTTGTGAGACCAATTCACATCTGCACCCCACAAACCCCTACAACATATTCCAACTGAATTGGGTAAATTTTCCACCGATAATTTAGAAATATATTCCATGCATGTTGAGATGTACATGTGGTGCGTTTGTGGGGCACGTGGGGCATCCTATATGGGGCGCAGATGTGATCTCTTGTGAGACTGGTTGATTGGTTACAAATTTTTCGGATAACATAGTCGCCCCAGAATGGCAACTGTATATTTGAGCTGGTGAGAAAACAAACACCCAGAAACAGACTGGATTAGCCGTAATTTTCTGTATAATTAGTTGGACCAAACAAATTAAGTATATAACATTGGTACAGTTATCGTTCACCCTAATGGCTAACTGGGCAGATCTCCCAAAAGATCTACTAGCTTCCATTGCCAGACGTCTCAGTGACATCGAAGATTTTATTAGGTTTCGCTGGGTGTGCTGCGCATGGCGGTCTGTTGCAATGAAGGAGAAATACTTGCAGCTCCCCTGTTTGGTACTATCAGGGAAGAAGGAAAGCACAGATACCCTTTGCTTGTTCAGCCTTCCCAAGGGAAAGCGCTATGAATTCAAACTCCCCAATGCTTCTAAGTGTCGATTCTTTGGATCTGTTCACGGTTGGCTATTAGTCAATGGCGTTAAGACTGAGGAAGTCCACTTGTTAAATCCCCTCACAGGAGTTCGAATCCGACTTCCCAACATTATAGACAAAGACTTCAACACCAAGGAACGCGGCTACTGGATAAAGAAAGCAACCCTATTCAAGACTCCTCCTGGTTGTTCTGATAATGAGGAGGACATCGTAGTTACCATGATTTTCTACAAGACAAACGCAAGAAGATGGCCGCCGGATGGCTCTGCAATCATAGAGTGGATTTCCATAGATGCTTTTGGGAGGACGAAGAGTTTGGTTCCTACAGGACCTCCTGGAGACAAAGTGTGGACCTCCATTGAAGCCCCACGTAAGCGTTGGTACGAAGATATCAGATATTTCAAGGGGCAGCTCTACGCCCTCACCAGGACCGGAGAACTCGACCTCTGTGACACAACAAAAAACGTTGAGTTTGCTCCCGAACCAGTTCAGAAACAAGGCAGCTCTTTTGTTGAACCTGTAGCTGAGAAGTACTCAAGATATGATAGTATTTTGGTGAGGAGGTACCTGGTAGAATCTTTAGGAGAGCTGTTGATGGTCATGCATTTTCGAGCTTATAATCCATTTTGTCAGAAGATATCAAAGTTTGAAGTGTACAGAATGGATTTTGGGACTAGGAGGTGGGTGGAAATAGAAGGCTTGAGTGACCGAATTCTGTTAATGGGTGATGATTATTGTGTGTCTCTGTGGCCGTCGGACTTGCCTTCTGCAAATTTCCGAGGCAATTGCATCTATATCATTGATAAACACCAGAAAAGGGATACGAATAATGAAATAAGTATCTACGATATGGCCAATGGGAAGTTGCAATCTCGAAAGGATCCACAATCAGTTCTTTTGAACAGCATCACTTGGCTTATGCCAGACCTCTAATGTTCTCTTGTTTCTTTACATTATTGCTGTGGTAGACGTGAGAAGATTTATGAATGGGTTAAGTTTTTTGTTTTAGGGTAAATTTTTTAAACTACCCATGGTTTAGTTTATGGTTTAGCTAATTGACTAAGTCTAACTTTACTGTTTCAAAATTGACTAACACTATTTTTACTGTTTTTGGCAATTTACTAATCCTTTTTTGTCAGTAACCTGTGTCATCGGAAATATGAAAAAGATATTTTACCCTCTACTTTGTTTGGAACCACCAGAACTATAGATCTCTCCCCCTCCCTTTTGTTCTCTTCTCCAAAACCACTAGAACCACCAGAAAATTAGATTTTTGAAATCTCTCTATATGCTGATCACCTATGCTGGAGCCCATTCTGATTAGAATTTTTGGTGTCGATACTTCTGAAAGATTCAATTTGGTATCGTTGGCTTTGTCACATGTGGCAGTTGCAGTTAAATCATTGATCCTTTATCCAAACCAAAGAGGAAGTCATGATGGGTTCTCTCCTTATGGCTTGATGAACTCAATTGGGACACTCTACGTCTATGCAATCATATGTAACCCATTGGGAGGGTTATTTCGATGCATTGGATATGGGTGTCGATAGATCCTTACATGAAGAATGAAGCTTTCAAGATGTGTTGAAATAGTGGAAGCATCTGTAAATGGTGTTGGGGAAGCAGTTTGGAGTTTAGGAATGGGCTCCGGAATAATATCAAGACAAAAAGAAAAAGATAAAAATGGACCTCAGTTCTGTTTCAGAGTTGGAAGTTCATAAAATCAAAACAAAAAAGACATCCTAGGCAGATCATCTCTGCAACCAACCGGCACAAACTAGTTTTGTTTCAGAAATCAGTTATGTAGAGGGTATTCAAGCAAAGAGTGGACTTCTGTTCTGTTTCAGAGTTGAAAGTTCATAAAATCCAGACAAAAAAGACACATCCTAGGCAGATCTTCTCTGCAACCAACCGGTGCAAACTAGTATCGATCACTCACTAAATGCGACGTCATCATGCACTGGGTGAAACCAAATACCACTAGGTGAGAGTAGTGAGTAGAAAAAAAAGGTTTGTGAGGGAGAATTATTTTCTTGCTTACCTTTTTGTAAGTGGTATTGTCTTCTTCAATGGTCCAACCAGATTGATTTTGCACCGATAGCTTTTACTGGTAATTTCTGAGCCTTTGGAAGATAATCCAGTGCTCGTACCACCATTATTGGTTGCACCCCAGACTTGAAATTTTTATAGGGTTTTATTTTGAAACAGGAACTTAGTTCCTAGGTTTTCATCGGAACTAAGGATGTTGGAAGTTGGAACTAAGATCTCTCCGTCAGAACTGAGATCGACATCTCTGCTCTTGGTTTTTCATCGAAACATATAGAGAAGTAATGAAGAAGAAAGGTTTTAGAGATAGTATTTTAAGAACATAAGTGAAAAGGTATTTTTTAGGAATGAATGTGAAAAGGGTATTTTAGGAATTTTTTAATTACTCAATTGTCAAAAATAGTAAGGATAGTATTAATCAATTTTCAAATAATAAAGGCACAGTTAATCAATTAACTAAACCATAATAGTAATTTAACTACTATTCTCTCTGTTTCTCCATTTAATTTACATTATTTTAACTAGTTGGTGTTTTATTACAACTGATCTTACCTTTTATACGTTAGCAAACTGGTGTAGGATCTCTGATTCAATGCATGGATACGTTGGCAAACTCGAAACCGAAGCTTCCCTTCACTTCCCACCACGAACCTCACTCATCGAATCCCACCCAGCCTGAGTTCTTTCAGTTCCAGCCACCGTAAAGGCCCAAGCTTCCACCCTCAAGCTCTCCAACCAACAAGACATCTCCAAGCCACCACTCCCTCACCCCTACTCCTCCCAACAAACTCGGAAACCCACCTGAGTAACCCAAATAACAGCTTCACCACTTTCTGAAAAACTGAAATTGCTGGATGGGTTATTAATCGCAAAGTGACGGTGGTTGGTGGATAAAATTAAAGAGGTAGAAAAAAGTTGAGAACATTTACAACAAAAATATGGTAAAATAGAAAGATCCCCCAATACCTTAATTTGTGACAGACCTCTCTGAACTTATTTGCTTTAGTGACTTCTGGGGTCGTGCTTCCCCCCGGCTTGTGTAGCATATTTTATTTCATATATATAAAAAAAAGACCTCTCTCAATTTTTATTTGCAACAAATAGAGGTGTCTGTCTAATCCGATGTGAATCCAATCCGATCTAATCCAATGTGAATCCATTTACAAATAGACTGGATTTAATCCGGTCCAAATCCAATCCAATTCATTAAAATGTAAATGGACTGGATTGATTCCAATCCAAATCGAATGAAATATAAAAAATTATATAAAAAATACATAACATATAAAAAATTACGAAAGATATATTAAAATGAAGATCTGAAAATTACAAAAATATACATTGAAAAAATACTTTTTAAAAGTGCTTTTATAAAAGTACTTCTGTAGAAGTGGATTTTTTTAAGTGTTTTCGTGAAAGTTCTTTTTATAAAAATGCTTTTGTAAAAGTGCTTTTATAAAAGTACTTCTATATAAATGCTTTTGTAAAAGTACTTCCACAAAAGTGTTTTTATAAAAGTACTTCCACAAAAGTCCTTTTGTAAAAATGCTTTTATTAAAGTGATTTCATAAAAGTACTTTCACAAAAGTGATTTTATGCCTGGCTTTAGTTTTGATCGGTTTCAAATTGGCCCAATCTAATAATTATAATTGATCGTCCAGATCTGATTTGATAAGGTTTGGATTGGATTAGATCCAATCTAAAACCAGTCAATTGACACCCCTAGCAACAAATTAATACCCCCTCGGATGTTAAATTAGATGATGGGAGACATTGAATTATCCAAATACCCCACTAAACTTTCTCTATTTTCTTCTTGCCATTCTCTCTTAAAACCTAAGTGGCCCAAAATCGTCATTGAAAAAGGAAAAAAAATGCTAGGAAATCTCTAGTAATGAGAAATCTAACTTTCTCACCAATGATCACCGCCGGAAAAGAAAAATTCTCTAGCAAGTTCATCCTTGATCTTATACCAACGCATCAGCCAAAACTAGTAACCTTAAAAGCACGTCTTCTGGGTTACGATGTTGAGGATTTGGTGAAGTCCACTTAACATTAATAGGAACTTCTAGAAAACATTCTTTGAACTACTTTGAGGTTTTAAGTAGTTTCACAACAAGGTTTTTAAAACTGAATCGAACAATGGACTGAATAAGGGCCTAGTTCCCGGGTTAAACGGTTCAACAGTTTGGATTGGATGGATGGCCCGTTCTGATAAAAAATAAAAAAATAAAAAATTTTAAAAAATAAAAAATAACCAAACCATTGGACAATTGGAACGATTTGACCGCCTAGGTCAGCAGTTTGCTGACCAAATCAATGGTTTTTGGAGAAATAACGGTTCCAGGATAAAATGGAACCGACCATCTAACCGATTCCCAGTTTTTCTAGTCTAACTATTCAGTCCAATCTGGTTTTTAAAACAATGGTTCACACAACCTTTGAGGATACCTTTCGGTTTACTGGTGAATGTTCATAAAACTTTCAGCCACCAAATTTGCCCACAAGAAGAAAAAGAGCAAAGGCAAAAAATTCTAATTTTCCAACGAAATGCACCAATCTCAAATCTTTCTGCATGGAAATAGATGGCCATCCTTTCTAAAAAGCCTAATAGTCTTTAGATTTAATTGGGCAGCAAATATCAAATGGAGAATTAGTGCAGGGATAAGGATAAAAAGATTTAAGGTTTAAAGTTTGTCCAACAAGAAAATGTAACCAATTGATGAATTCTCGAACCACAACAACATCAAAAGTATTTGAACAAACTGAAGAAAAACCTAGCCATTTCTCGCAACCGGAAACACAATTATTCATAGATAATATTAGGCACGACAATGTAGAATACTCAAAATCCAGGATATTAAACACAAACCCTTCAAAGCCGAGACTGAAGCAAACCCCCACAAGACTGCCCCCACAACACATTTCTGCCATGTATTGAGAACATCTCTCAATGATGACATCATCATTCCTAGTATTATCATCGGGAGATGTTCCCAATTCATGACAGGGATGCGCTGTGGGACGTTGGATGTTCCCAATTCCTAGATAATATTATCACCATTGCTTTACCATTGTTGCTGAGGGCCAGTTTTACGCCCTCAGCAACAATGGAGGACTTCTGCTCTGTGACACAACGAAGACAGTTAAGTTTGCATCCGAACTGGCTCAGAAACAAATCTATGATTATGATCTGTGTAATAAGTGCAATAGGTACTTCTTGGTTAAATCATTAGGAGAGTTGTTAATGGTAAAACAATATTGACCTCTGCAAACAAGTTTTGTTAAGAGGTGAGGATTACTGTTTGTCTCTGTGGCCATCGGAATTGCCTATTATAAGTTGCATAGGTAGTTGCATCTACTTTTCTGATTCTGTGATAACTGATAGATAAAGAGAATACTGGCAAAAATGGAAGGGTCAAATGGGTATCTACGATATAACGAATTGTCACGGGGCTAGTCGTTGGGGTCCCGTGCAGCACTCGAATGCGACGAATAAGCCTAAAAAACAAGCAACAACACAAGCAAAGGCAACAAAGATGGCACACGAATTAGATAAAAGGCAAATTGTATTGCATTAAAGAGTGGCAAGCATAAGCACACAGTTCAGAGTCGAGGGGATCTCATGCTTAACCTTTACATGCTCTTGACTCACTCGACTACCTACCTCCCCTCAAAGAGTACGTTAAGCTTTTGGGGGAGTGACATAAGGATACATCAAAAGGATGAAAAATCATACTAAGGTAATTATAGAAATGCCATTGGCAATCCCCCCATACAAGAGTACATGCATAGCCCACCCATGACACACACTTGGACACTGGAGTGGCGGTTGTAGGTACAATGGATGGCACTTGATGGTGTGGCAAAGAGAACACTTGTGATAG